TAAAAGAGTGGGATTGGAGGTTTGTTCTTAAGTTGATTCTGTATGTAAGTCGGAACTGGCGTCCAGATTCGGCTGCTGCTGAAACTGACCAGCGGCTGACTACAGGAAGCCCGAGGCAGAGTTGCTCTGCCCCGGGCTTCCTGGAATCAGTCGTTGATCAGCTTCAGCAGCAGCTGACTTGAGGACACCTGGGGTAGAGCACCTGGGGTGCTGCCAGGTTGGTCCCCGCAGTGCTGAGGTGCGGCACTGCGGAGACCTACCCGGCATCGCCCCAGCTTCTCTGTCCCAGGCGTCCAGATTCAGCTGCTGTTGAAACTGATCAGCAGCTGATTTCAGGAAGCCCGGGACAGAGAAACTCTGCCTCAGGCTTCCTGTAGTCAGCCGCTGGTCAGTTTCAGCAGTGGTTGAATCTGGACGTCAGTTCCGACTTAAGTACAAATTCGACTTAGGGACTGTAGGTTTGTACTTATCTTGTACGTAACCTAGGGACTGCCTGTAATATTAATAAGGCGAAAGGAACACAAGTGAGAATAAAGAGAGATTAAATTAAACAATTTTTAGATATAGTAAATATATTCCAGTTGGTAGGGTCTGATGAAATGGATCCTATGGTACTTAATTTCAAATAGTAGATTCAGTACAGTACTTCCTTATCTTCGAGAATTCATAGAGGATGGGTGAAGTCTCAGACAAGTTGGTGAAGAGCAAATCTGGTATTTATCTTTTTAAAAGGGGAACAAACAGGCCCCATGGAATTATAGATGAGTCAGTTTAATTTCAATGCTTGGTAAAATACTAGAACAGATTATCAAACAATCAATTTGTAAGCATCTAGAGATCAATAGAGTAATAACAAACACCTAATATGGATCTGTCAGAAAAAAACCATGCCATATCAACCTAATTTCCTCCTTTGGCAAGGTTACTGGAATAACAGATAGGAGAAGACATAGAGGCGATGAATATTGATTTTAATTCGACTTATGACACAATCCCACACGACACTCTCATAAGCAAACTAGGGAAACGTGATCTAGATGAAATTATTATAAGATAGGTGCATAAATATTTGAAAGACCATATTCAAAGCATTCCTTGGATTGTAGTTCATTGTCAAACAGGGAGGATGCATCTAGAGGGGTTCTGTAATGGTATTATTAAATGTTTTCATTAATTACTTGGATAATGAAGTGGAAAGCATGCTTACAGAATCTTTAGACAATATCAAGCTGCAAAGGGTTGCAAACACTTTGGAGGACAGAATTAGAATTAAAATTTCTTTGACAAACAGTGGATCACAAATTGAATATGAATCAACGTGATGCAGCTGCAAAAAAAGGTAATAACATTCTAGATGTATTTACAGGAGGGTTGAATGTAAGGTACAGGAAGTAACTCTACGGCTATGCTGGGCACTATTGGCAATAGCTGGTGGTGTCCAGTACTGGGAGTCACACTTGAAGAAAAATGTGGACAAAGTGGATAGAGTCCAGAGTAGGGAGAAATAAATAATTAAAGGTTTAAAAATCAAATCTATGAAAACAAGTTTAAAAAAACTAATTATGTTAAGGCTTGAAAAAATAAAACTGAGAGAAGCTCTGACAATTGTCTTCAAGTATGTTAAAGAGCAATTGTACAGGGAGTAATTGTTCTCCATATCCACTGAAGATAGGATAAAAAATAATCAGATTAATTTGTAATAAGAGAGATTTGGGTTACATAGCAGGGTGGATAAAAATCAGTGACTTTTCATAAAAATTAAAAGATTTTGTATGAAAATGGGATTTTTAAGATCAATAAAATATTACATTTATTTAAAAATAAGTTACAATTAAATCTCATCATAAACATATAATTCTTACACTTATAGTGTCACAAAAATGAATTAATGGCTCTAGTCTGTCCAGCCTAACAACCAGCTCTTGCTCCTTGAAAGTTCTGGGATTTCCATTTCTGTTAGTATGCTGAGAAACATATGCAAAGACACACACAGGCTGGATAGAATTGGTTTTGTTCTGAGTTTATGTGGTGATGAATCTAGGCCAAGCATGGCAGAGTTAGTTAAGACACTGTCTAAAGACAGAGACACAATGTATAGGAAAGGACAAAGACTGTATAGAAAGGGACATTGGAGTGGACTGGAAAGGAAAAGGGAAGACCTTATTCAGCACACTCAAAGCTTCCTATATTCCCCCATACTTGTGCCGCAAAAAAACTGTCATGGTGTCTGCATGTAAAGGAGATCCTACCTGGAATATTTTGAGGAAATGTATTTCCTTGGTAAAAAAGGAAAAATGTGTCAAGTGTAAGCAGAGAAAGAAGATGATGCCGGACCAAGATGCGAGTTAAACACTGGAATAGGCTTCCAAAGGAGATTTGTGAAATCCTTGTCATTGAAGGTTCTTAAAATAAAGTTAGACAAACACCTGACAGGGATGGTAAAGGTAGACTTGGTCGTAACTCCTAACTGACTATTTCCCATCTTTCCAAGAAGAGGGGCAATATTGTTTCTTCCATCACCTTTTCTGATTTCCTATCTACCTCTGTATCCCATGTAAGTATGCTTTCCCAGTCTCCCAGACTGATCATATACTTCTCTGAAATTTCATTCTCTTACTTTCTGTCTGCTCATTTCTTCTTAGAATCTTGGCCAATTTTAGTCCATTCATCTGGAACTCTCTCCACCCCAACAGAGTCACACTCACTTCCCCTTTTTAAATTTTGCCTCAATCTCTCTCTCTTCTTCCATTTATCTCACTGGAAAACATTAATGAAAGTGTTTATTAAGAATATTATGCCTTATATCCGTGGTTACAGCTAAGTAAAGTACTGCTCAGGAGGAAATGCACAAATCTGGCTTTATGACACTGTTTCCACTCTTTCTATCCTGGAACAGCTGTGCAGCAACCTGACTCCCCAACATAAAACAATGCAGCCTGAAGGCTGCTCTAAAACACTCTAGCCAACAATAGCTCTAAGGGGCTAATCTAGGAGCCAAGAATTACTGTAGGACAAGAAATCCCCTGCTTCCTACACTTACAGCATTGAATGGTCATATATAGTAGCCACTAGCATGGCTATATGACACAAAAAGATCCCCCCTGCTTTTAGGTGACTCTTGTAGTTGGCTGTATTTGTTTCAGGTCCAGTCCACCATTGTAAAAACAAGAGATGTGAAAGAGTACATGGTTACACACAGGCTCCTGTCATGCACCAGCTCCTGGGGAGTCACATTACACACACACACACACACCCCACGCTGCTGCCTCTGTATAAGAGGCAGTAGTGCAGGAGGGGCAGGCTCATGGTACATGCAAGGAGTATCAGAGGCAGCAGTACAGGACAGTGGGGGGCAGGCAGAAGCCACCTGCCCCCCTGCGTGTAACTGCTGAAAATTTCAGTAGTTTCATGATTAATTAAACACAATTTAACATCCCTAGTCAATACAGCTTCACACGAAGAATCTGGGTCTACATAAACAGTATATATCTGCCAGTGTATACCTGGAACAGTTTTCTGAAATAGTACATCCTTGTGGATACTATATGGAATATATAGCTTATAAAAATACTCTCAAGCAATGTATAAACAAATGGAGTATACAAAATTTAATCTATTTTCTCATATGTTTAAAGTATACTGCAAAAACACACACATGCAGATTTAAACTCACCTTATTTTTCTCATTTTGAATTACTTGTAATACTTCTTGTACATAACCTTCTTCTAAGCACTTCTGGCATGCTACTTGAAAAAGATTAAAATCTTCTCCTTTGAAATCTTGTTCTTCTAGGATTTGCTGCAATAAAAAATTATCTAACTTTATAAATCCAAATTTGAGTTTAAATCCAAATTTTAATGTAGCTGAAACCTTAGCTTTTATAATATCTATCTTTTACGTATTAGAATATTCCTGAGGGAATTCTGTGCCAAAAAAATTACAGACGGCCCCCAACTTGCAATGAGATCGATTCCTGGGGAAGCGTCGCAAGTAGGGGACATCGTAACTTGAACCCGCATTTATGATAGGTGCCATGCGCTGTCATAAATGTGGGCTGAGGATGTAAGTCGGGGGGTTTCGACTCCTTCTGCACTTACAAAAATGGTCATAAGTGCTGGGGGTCGCAACTCAGGCCATGGTAAGGCAGGGCTTCCTGTAAAAATTCTGAACAAAAAATTTAAAATTCTGAAAAATTACACTATTTTAATTTATTTTGCAATATATTACCAAAATAATTAAACATGGTGTAATTATGTTGTTATTGTATTTCTGCATTATTTTGATAAATAAAATATGCAAAACTTAGAAGAATTTTTTGAAAATATATTCTGGGTGGTGCAATCGGGGTGCAGACAACTTGATGCAGGGCTCTGGGTGAAGAGAGAATGGGACTCTGCAAGGAAGTCCAGGTGAAGGTAGTTAGGGATCAGTGAGAGTCTGGGGGTGCGGGGTTTGATAAGGTTGGGAGGGTCAGGGTGTAGCTGGTTGGAGCTCAATGAGGTCCAAGTGTGAGGGGCTGCTCATGCAGGGGATGGAAATCAGCAGGGTGGAAGTTGGGGGGTCTTGGTAGAGAGGTTCTGGGTGCAAGGCAGGGGTTCAATTAGGGGTTCCAGGCGCATGGATGGGAAGACTGATCACTGAACAGGAAGCTGCTCCCCTGTCTATCCAACCCCATGCATCCAGATCTCTCCCCCAAACACACACACTCAAAACCCGCACTGAGCCTTACCACCCCACACCTAGAATTCCCATTCAGACAGGCCCCTTCCCACCAGCAGTGCAGAGCTACCTGCAGCTTAGAGTAGTTTCTGGGGTTGATTTGACACAGACCCAACTGGTCTGGGCAGGGGAAACTCTGTCTTCATCCTCTTTCTTCCCTCCCAGCCCACCCAGCTGAGACAAACATCCCTGGGAAGCCAGGGCATCCCCAGGCACCCCTCCCCCAGAGATTTACCTCTCCCCAGCTGCTCAAACAGATATGTCTGTGCACACAAATGTAGGCAATGCCAGTTTCTCTAACAGTTAGTATATTTTTACAGAAAGGAAGTTACTTACACATCGTTGTATAACGGCTTGAAGCTCCTCAGTTGCCATTGTATCCTGATTTTGTTCTTCTGACATTGAAAAGCTCTATCATAAGTTAGAGTATAGTAATGAGTCACAACTATATTATATTCAATATTATACTGGATTTAAAATGGAGATTAAAAAATTATCACATTTTAGTAAGTCCCAAGTGGTAAAACATCTTACAGAAATTAAGGAGTCTGCATAAAAGAACATGAGACAAAACAGAAGAGAAAAGAGTTAAAAAATGCAAGGTATTTTTTCATTCCCTCTCCTGTGCAGGCACTGCTATTGCTTGCTTATAGGAGACAGGAAAGAGCATGAAAACAATATCTAAAGAGGGGAACTGTCCAACTACAGTAAACTTCTGATAATCTGGGAAGCCCGGGGCAGAGCAGCTGGGGTGCTCTTCCCCAGAGTCAGCCGCTGGTCAGTTTCAGCAGCGGCTGACTTGGGGAAGTCTGGGGCAGAGTAGCTGGGGTGCTGCCGGGATGGTCCGGCAGCGCCACCCAGCACCCCAGCTGCTCTGCCCCGAGCATCCCCAAGTACTGAAACATCCAAATCTGAACTGAAATAACTAAAAGAATGTGAAAACTAATTTTCTTTTTATTATACTGAAATCCTACTTACATTTTATTTCACTGTTTTCCACACTTGACAGTGAATCCACACTTGACAGTTTCACTTTGCTGTTCTCATTGCATTAGCACAGGGATGGGCAATAATTTTTGCCAAGGGGTCACAATGGCAATGGCACAATGGTTGGGTATTGGTAACCCAGAGCTCATAGCTCCAGCCCCTGAAGTAGAGCCACAACTGGGCACTATTTAAATAGGATCCTGCTGTCAGAGCCACCACCTGAAAATTCGGTGGCATGGACAGCAAGATATAAATAAAAAACTGTCAGACACCGTCTGTGGGCCAGATCAAAGTTTTAGCAGGGCAGGGTCTGCCCCGGGTGGCATCTTGCCCATCCCTGCACTAAGATGTACTTTTGAGTTTGAGTTAGCACCACTGCAAGAGCAATGGCAACATTCCCCCAGAACCAGTGTTCCCTCTAAGCTGCGTGGCAGCACAGTTTCACAGGTGAATAATCAGCCCTGCCCAGTGAATCAGCTCCACATGGAGCCCTGAGCTTTTGACTGGGCGGGGCTGATTAATCACCAGTTAAGATATGATGCTGCACAGTTTAGAAGAAACACTGCCCAGAACTACTTTAATTTGTTTGAAAACAAATGTACAGTGTTACCTATTTGGGGCCCAAAGTAACTTGGTATCATCAATAAGTCTCAAATCATGTACTGAGCTCCGTAGTGTACTGGTTCTGAGCTCATTGCACGTATGTGGCCCACATGATTAAGTCAGTGATATATTTCCCTGACTTCAGTGGGAACTGTACCGGTCCTTAAGTCATTATGAAAGAAAATTATATATTAGCTATAATTGGCAAACACCATTCATTAAGAATGTTTTTTTCCACCCATTTTGATTTCTTCTTATAGGATCTGAACACCAATGAAGAATGCATCAAAGGGAGAATGTATTCTAAATGCATGGAAGCACCTAGCATCCTCCATACACTTTTGTCAAACACTTGCCATTAGCCATACTTGGGTGAAAACAGGCTGTAGGGGTGGGTAGAGCCCTGGGTGGATATAAAATCTGTATCTGCATCTCTATCAGCACAAATAAACCTGTGACTATAAAGCAGACATCCACAGATTTACAAGGCTCTATGTATGCCCTGAGGCTACGTCTACACTACGTTTTTTGTGCAAAAACCAGCAGTGTCCACACCTCAAGCACGTTTTTACACAAGAAAATCTACAGTCAATTGACAGAACAGATGATTTTTTGCGGTGCAGATATACCTCCTAAGAGGAATAACTCCTTTTTGCGCAAAAAGGCATGTGTGGATATTCCGCAGGGGTTTCTTGCACAAAAAGAGCCAATCCGAAAAAGCACAGGTGTTCTGATGGCCATTCTGTGAATGGCCATCAGTGCTTTCTTGCGCAAGAGTGTCCATGCCGTGTGGATGCTCTCTTGCCCAAAAGCTCATTGCAAAAGCAGTGCATTTTGAGGTGTGGACACGCTCTTGCGCAAGTTTTTGCACGGGAACTCTTCCTCAAAAATCTTCTTGTGCAAAAACCCTGGGCTGTGTCTACACTGCACCCCTTTTCCGGAAAAGGGATGCAGATGAGACAAGTCGGAATTGCAAATGAAGCGGGGGATTTAAATATCCCTCGCTTCGTTTGTATAAACATGGCTGCCGCTCTTTTCCGGCTCGGGGCTTCGCTGGAGAAAAGCACCAGTCTAGATGGGGATCTTTCGGAAAATAAAGCCTTTTCCGAAAGGTCCCTTATTCCTCTTAAAATCAGGAATAAGGGACCTTTCAGAAAAGGCTTTATTTTCCAAAAGATCCAGTCTAGACTGGCGCTTTTTTCCGGCAAAGCCCCGAGCCGGAAAAAAGCAGCAGCCATGTTTATACAAATGAAGCGGGGGATATTTAAATCCCCCGCTTGATTTGCAATTCCGACTTGTCTCATCTGCATCCCTTTTCCGGAAAAGGGGTGCAGTCTAGACACAGCTAAAGGGTGGGCAAAAGGAAGTAATAGCCAGATGCTAGATGTGGGGAGTGATATAGTTGGTGGGTACGTGACTAGTCCAAGGTCTGTGCTACCTGGCAGGACCAGGAATTCATAGACATGTAGGGCTCAGGGGCCCACCAGAGCTCCTGAGGCAAGACCCAGTAAACCCAGACCATTCCTAAGATAGGGAGCGAGGGGATGTGATGGGTTCTGAGACTTTGAAGCCAATCCCCTGTCTGGCTCAGAACTGCCCTTTGCGATCACTCAGAACGGAGGCCATCTCCTCTCCCTAGCCTAACGGGTAATTAGCAACCTTATAGTCAACAATAGCCAAGCTGTAGGACATGCTAAAGGAATCAGCTTGGCAG